ATATATATATATATATATATATATATATATATATATATATATATAATCAGTACCCAGGAGTTGAAGAATGGGGACAGGAGAATCAGAAGTTCAAAGCATCCTCCGATGCAAAGCCAAGGTTACATGATACTTTATCTCAAAAAGACAAAAAGAAAAAGCCAGGTAATAGCTGTGTGTGCCTTTAGAGGCAAGCAGATCACCATGAATTCAAGGCCAGCTTGGTATACAGATCAAGTTCCAGGACAGCTAAAGCTATCCAGGACAGAGAAACCCTGTCTCCAAAAACAGACAAACACACAACAACAACAACAAAAATATAATTGCTAAATTAAAAAGATAAACTTGATGTGATGGTGCAAGCCTTTAATCTTGGTATTCAGGAGTCAGCATGTCTCTGTGAGTTTGAGACCAGCCTACATAGTTTCAAAGCAACCAGGACTACATAGTAAGACCTTGTCTCAAAATAAAGAAACAAATAAAATGGGACATGGCCTCACACTTCTGTAATCCCAGAAATCAAGATGCTGAGGTTGGAAGATCATAGTTCAAGGCAAACCTGGGTTACATCATTTGTTCAAGCCCAGCCTAGACTGACTACCTAGGAAGACTATGATAGAAAACAAAGGAGGTGAAGATGTAGCTCCGTTTGATGAATCTGCCTAACACGCATAAAGCCCTGGGTTGATCTTTAACACTGTATAAGATGACTGTGGCCCTGCAATGGTTGCTCACACTTTTAATCCTGGACTTTGGGAAGCAGAGGTAGACAGATCTCTGAGTTTGAGGCCAGCCTGGTCTACAGAACAAGTTTCAGGACAGGGAGACCTACACAGAGGAACCATGTCTTGAAAAACCACAAAAAGAAAAAAGTGTCTAATAGCACATGATGCCAGCAGTGGGGAGGTGGGTACAGGACAATTAGACATTCAGAGTCTTTTGATGCATGGTGATTTGCTGAGCCGTTAATAGTATTAGTTGCTCTTCCAGATACATCCACATGGAGAATTACAAGTATCTGTAACCCTGGTCCCAGGGGATCTGATGCCCTTTTCTGGCATCTGTAGATGCTCTCACATCTGGTGCATAGTAGATACAGATTCAGGCACTCATATATATTTTTAAAAAAGTCTGAAAAATCTTGAAAAAATGTTTTTTTAAAAGCGTCTATGATGGCAGCCAGTGTCAAGATGTCATCAGGAACAGGAGTTGAGAATTCACATCTTGAATTGGAAGCACAACACAGAAGGGGCACACTAGAATGGTGCAAAGCTTTGAAACCTTGTCATTGTGCTCCCAGTGACAAACTTCTCCAGCAAGGCCATACTCCCTAAGCCTTCTGAGAGCTTCATTAGTTGTTCATCAAGTGTTCAAGTGTCTTAAGACTATGGGAGACGGGCTGGAGAGATGGCTCAGTGGTTAAGAGCACTGACTGCACTTCCAGAGGTCCTGAGTTCAAATCCCAGCAACCACATGGTGGCTCACAACCATCTGTAATGAGATCTGATGCCCTCTTCTGGTGTGTCTGAAGACAGCTACAGTGTATTCATATATAATAAACAAATAAATCTTTAAAAAAAAAAAAAAAAAAAAGACTATGGGAGACATTTGTCTCTCAAGCTACCGTGATTTCTCTTACTTTAGCTACAAACTTCCCGGCTTGCATGCTTTGTCAGAGAGCACCATTAGTGCTTGTGATGTAGAGTCTGAGAACAACTCTGGTAGCTGCTTCCTTCGTGGAAGACCAGTAACTTTTGTACCTTCTTTTTTTCCCAGAACAACATAGCCGAAGTCCAGGAGCTGCACTCTGAGCTCATGTGGAAGGACTTTATAGACCACATCAGCAGTCTCCTGCACAGCGTCGAGGTGGAAGTCAGCTACTTTGCAGCTGGAATTATCGCCCACTTGATATCCAGAGGGGAACAAGCGTGGACCTTGAGCCGAAGCCAGAGGAATTCTCTTCTTGATGATTTGGTAGAGTCATTTGGTGTTTTCTGGAATGATACAAACTACATTTGTAATGGTTAAATACGAAAGCTTCATAACGTAGTAATAGTTAAAATGAATATTATAACATATCCTATGTCTTGTGTCTTCTAGCATTCAGCTATTTTGAAATGGCCAACTCCAGAGTGTGAGATGGTAGCATACAGGTAATTAGCATGACTATTAAGTAATCTGGTCATTTTTCTTTTTCTTTTTTTGGTTTTGGTTTTTCGAGACAGGGTTTCTCTTGTAGCCCTGGCTGTCCTGGAACTCACTCTGTAGACCAGGCTGGCCTCGAACTCAGAAATCCACCTGCCTCTGCCTCCCAAGAGCTGGGATTAAAGGCGTGTGCCACCGCCGCCCGGCCTCTGGTCATTTTTCTTATAATCTTTACTTCAAGTACAATCTCATAATACTGCTATTCAGTAAAATAGTTGTTCATTGTGGTGCCTGCTTATAATCTCAGCACTGTAGAGGCTGAGACAGGACTGCCAAGTTCCAGTCTAGTCTGGCTTATAGGACAAGACCCTATCTCAAGGTGGGTTTAAAAAAAATATTTTGACTTATTTTTTACTATTCATTCATCATCCCTTTATTTCATATTATTGAAGGCAGATAGATCTCTGAAACATATCTGCTCTTTAAATTTAAAGAAGACCAAGAGGGCTGGGGTTATATGCCTGGTAGAGTGCTGTCTGTCATTCATAAAACCCTGGGTTTGTGATCCCCATCACCACATAAACTGTGTGGCCGCCCATGCCTGTAATGCTAATGCTGAGTGGTAGAGTCAGGAAGATCAGAAGTTGAAGGTCATCCTAGGCTACACAGCAAGCTTGAGGCCAGCCTGGGATACATGAGACCCTGTCACTTGACTCCCATCCTATCTCCCCCAAATAACCACAACAAAACCACTATTCTGGAAGGCTAGGTCCTATGACAGTTAGATGATAAGATAGGCAACTTACTGTCGCAGGTATTCCCATGGCTGCATAGTTTTATTACACTTAACATGTTTTTGATTTCTTTAGTTTTTTGAGATTTTATTTTAATTTTATATGTATGGTGTTTTGCCTGATTGTATCTCTGTGCATTATGTTGCATGCATTGTCCTCAGAGGCTATTGGATCCTCTAGAATTGGAGTTCAAATGGTTGTGAGCCACCGTGTGGATGTTGGGAATCTAGCCTGGATCCTCTGGAAGATAGCCACTGCTGAGTCATCTTTCTAGCCCCTCTTCCACAATTTTTAAACCCATTTTTGTTCAGAGCAATATAAACAGAAAGGCACATTCTATTCTTTTTTCCTGGTGTTCTACTACTTATCACTGTCTTGAATTTTCTACTTTACAAATCCGGGTCTTTAAGTGTGTATCTTAAGGCCCAGTGTGGTGGCTTATCTCTATAATGGCGGTACTCAAGATGCAGAAGCAGGTGGGCAAGATGGTTCAATGGGTGCAAGAGCTTATCTGGTCGTCTGAGTCAGATCTCTTCCACCCATAGTGGAAGGAGAGAACTGGCTCCCAAAAGTTGTCCTCTGGGCTCCGAATGCTTGCCATTTTATGTGTGCTTTCACACATATACTCACACACATCACACAGTGATAATAGCTAACTTTTTAAAAGACAGGCAGATCTAGGAAGGCAGACTCTGCTATGCATAGCAAATTTAAGGGCAGCCTGGCCTGTATACTGAGGTATGGATCCAAAAAGGGGGTGGGACAGGGCTCAATTTTGTGGCCCTTCCTAGGTGGTTGTGTCATGATGCAGCAGGATATCTCCTTCTCAGCCACTGGGTGTCAGAAACTCATGGAAGTAGAACAATGAGTACAGGCTTGGAACTGTGTAAGAAAGCCATGGCCGCAGAAATAGCTGCTGGTGCTGGGCGGAAGAGTGAAAGCATTATATGGTCCAAATCAGTGGTGGGCACAACAGTGTTTTCCCATGAAGCACGCCATCTTGTCCCATAGCAGAGGTTATCAGTACTGAGTGAGAGTCCTTCTTGTTACAGACCAAGGACAACTGGAAAGATGAAGCACAAGTGTTCCCTCTTTATGTTTTAAGATGCATAGTGGGTCCAGTCTGATTGTTCTCAACTTGGTTAGTGTAAAAAAAATGAGGGAAGGATATTTCTGGATGGACAGATGCTACTGTGTCTGGGTAGTTGGGGCCTAAAAGAGTTAGCAGAAGCCTAAAGCTCTTCAGGTATCTCTAAAGATGATGTCTGCCAGTATGTTGTCAGAAAGCCCTTAAAGAAAGTAAGAAGCAGGACCAAAACACCCAAGGTTCTCCTTCTGAGCCCAGTCAAAATTAAGCTTTTAAGATTAACAGTAATAATTATCTGTGTATATATACACACTATATATATATAATACATACACACATATCTACATACAGACACTGTGTGTGTGGGGTGTGTGTGTGTGTGTGTGTGTGTGTGTGTATATAAAGGGATGGGTCATGGTGGCACATGCCTTTAATCCTAGCACTTGGGAAGCAGAAGCAGATGAGTCTCTGGAGTTCCAGAGCAGCTAGGACTACATAGTGAGACCCTGTTCTCAAACTTGGTTATAAAATAAAAGAAAGGGAGAAACCAGAGGAGGGACAAGATGGCTCAGTGAATGAGTGTGCTCGCCACTGTATAGGCCTGATGACTTACGTTCAGTTCCTAGAACCTACATGGTAGTGGTAGAAAACCTATTCCACTGACCTCCACAAGGAAATTTGTTGTAACACCCTTAACCTCCAGTTGTATTAATTTGGTCTCTTCCTTTTGTTTAGTTTAGCTAAATGAAATGCCAATTTTATTTTTCTAGGGAGCAAGTCCTTAATTGATTGGGTCTGTGCATTGTTGTAGTCTTTGTGCTCATAACTGTCATCCCTGTTTACGGCACTGCTTTGGGGTTTGCCTGTTTTTCTAGGACCTTTTACGATCTTGTGTGGCTCAGGCTGTGCTGCTGTATGGAACTCACAGCCCCAGCTGCATTTGTGCATATTTGTTTACAATTGTTCTATTTCCTTGGTGAATTGTTCACTTTATTAATATGTGGTAGCCTTTACTTCTTCTGTCTCCCCACCCCTGTTTTTAAGACAGGGACTCTACATCACCCTGGCATCCTGGAACTCACCCCATAGACCAGGCCGGCCTCAAACTCACAGGTTCATCTGCCTCTGCCTTCCAGTTAAAGATGGCACCTCCACACCTGGCTTCTTCTGATTGATTTTAAAATGTACGCTTTTCGGATATCAAAGTTGGGAAGACCAAAAAAAGAAAAAGAAAAGCTTTTAAAAGATCCACACTCCCCTACCTTAATACAGTCTTTACATACCTCTGGTGTACCAAGATGTATCTCAGTGAAATCCTTTCTGAAATAGGCAGTGCAAAGTAAAGGTGTGTGTGGCTCCTTCATGTCAGTCTAGAAATGATACGTATTTTCTTTTCTTTTTTAAAGATTTTATTTATTTTACATATATGAGTACACTGTAGCTGTCTTCAGACACTCTAGAAGAGAGCATCAGTTCCCATTACAGATGGTTATGAGCCACCATGTAGTTGCTGGGATTTGAATTCAGAACCTTTGGAAGAGCAGTCAGTGCTCTTAACTGCTGAGCCATCTCTACAGCCCACATGTATTTTCTTTTCTTTTTCTTTCTTTTTTTCTTTTTTTTTTAGGCTTTTTCGAGACAGGGTTTCTCTGTGTAGTCCTGGCTGTCCTGGAACTCACTCTGTAGACCAGGCTGGCCTCGAACTCAGAAATCCACCTGCCTCTGCCTCCCAAGTGCTGGGATTAAAGGCGTGGGCCACCACTGCCCGGCTCACATGTATTTTCTTTTTTTTTTTTTTTAAGGTTTATTTATTATATATGAATACACTGTAGCTGTCTTCAGACACACCAGAAGAGGGCATCAGATCTCATTACAGATGGTTGTGAGCCACCATGTGGTTGCTGGGATTTGAACTCAGGACCTCTGGAAGTGCAGTCAATGCTCTTAACCACTGAGCCATCTCTCCAGCCCATGTATTTTCTTAAAGTTATAATAATTACTACCTAGAAAATGATGCTTTATATAAAATGTGACTTTGATTCTTTTGAACTTTTAGGTCCTTTAATCCATTCTTTCCACTACTTGGCTGTTTTACGACTCCTGGAGTCCAGCTGTGGGCAGTTTGGGCCATGCAACATGTCTGCAGCAAGAATCGTATGTACCAAAAATAGAACTATACTTCAAATTCAATTTTCCTTTACAGAAAGTCATTTTGTGGGAGTGAAAGATTGTTGAGTTTTTCCTGTGTAGTTCTGGCAAGCTGGTATAGAACTACTATGTAGCTCAGGCTGGCCATAAACTCTGCAGAGAGTTTATGGGTATGAGTGTTTTGCCTGGATATATGTCTGTACACTACTTACATGCTATCAAATTCCTTAGAACTGTGGAGTTAGAGACAGTTGTGAGCCACCATGTTATGGTGTGTTCTTTACTGCTGAACCATCTACTCAGCCTCTAGAAAGCCTGCCTGCCTTTGTGTGTCTGTGTCTCTGTGTCTCTGTCTCTCTCCCTCTCTCCCTCTCTCCCTCTCTCCCTCTCTCCCTCTCTCCCTCTCTCCCTCTCTCCCTCTCTCCCTCCCTCTCTCTCTTGTTTTTGGTTTTTTGGAGACATGGTTTCTCTGTATAGTCCGGGCTGTCCTGGAACTCACTCTGTAGACCAGGCTGGCCTCAAACTCAGAAATCCACCTGCCTCTGCCTCCCAAGTGCTGGGATTAAAGGCGTGGGCCACCACCTCCCGGCTCTTTTGTTTTTTTGAAACAAGGTTTTTTTCTGTGTAGCTCTAGCTGTCCTGGAACTGGCTTTGTAGACCAGGCTGGCCGCAAACTCAGTAGGTCTGCCTGCCTCTGCCTCCCGAGTGCTGCGACTAAAGGTGTGTGCCATATTGCCTGGCCAGAAGGCCTTTTTTTTTTTTCCCCTCTTTTCCTGAGACAGGGTCTCTCTGTGTAGCCCTGGCTGTCCTGGAACTCACTCTGTAGACCAGGCTAGCTTGGAACTCAGAGATTTACCATCTCTTCCCCTATCCCCACCTCAAGTGCTGGGATTAAAGGCATATGCTACCACCATCTGGATCCAGAAAGTCATTTTTAAGGATATATTGCAGCCGGGCGGTGGTGGTGCATGCCTTTAATCCCAGCACTTGGGAGGCAGAGGCAGGCAGATTTCTGAGTTCAAGGCCAGCCTGGTCTACAGAGTGAGTTCCAGGACAGGCAGAACTACACAGAGAAACCCTGCCTCGAAAAACAAACAAACAAACAAACAAACAAAAAAAAGGATATATTGCACTGTTTTGCGTTTTGTTTGAAATAGGTCTCACTATGTGGATCAGGCTAGCCTTAAACTGACAGAGATCCACTTGCCTTGCTTCTTTCTCCCAAATCTTAGGATTAAAGGCATGTGCTATGACCCTGTCTGCATTGATTTTTAAGTATATTAACTTTTTAGTGTATATGTATATGTGGTGTATATATGGCATTGTGGGCACATGCATATACACTCAAAGCCCAGAGGAATGTCTTCCTCCATTTCTTTCTGCCTTACTGTCACTGAACCAAGTGTTTGCAGTTTTGGGTAGGTTGGCTGTCCAAGGACTTCCTAGGACCTCCTTTCTCTGTCCCATAACGCTGGATTACAGCACACATGGCCATGCCTTTTTATGTGGGTTCTAGGATTATTCAGGATCAACCATCTAAAGTTCCAGTTCCAAGGGATTTCTGGCTCTGGCATGCAAGGGGTACAGAGACATACATATATAAAACACTTATACACATAAAATACTTTTTAAAATGATTACTGAATTCAAGGGAATAAAGCAGAGATGATAAGAGACACCTGATTCATGAGTTTTTTGTTTTGTCTTAGGGAGGCAGGATCTTACTCTGTAGATGTGCTTTATGCACTACCTTGCATGGCCTTTGATGTGTTTTGTGTTGTTTTAAGCTCTGAAGAACTTGTTTTGTTTATGGGATAACTTTAAAACTTTTTCTTGTTTCTTTCAGCTTCAAGGTATTGCAGCATGCTGATTGAAGAAGGAGGACTGCAGCATTTGTACAATATCAAAGAACACGAGCAGACAGATCCCTATGTCCAGCAGATTGCGGTGGCCATTCTGGACAGTTTAGAGAAACACATTGTGCGCCATGGAAGGCCCCCTCCCTGTAAAAAGCAGCCCCAGGCCCGGCTGAATTGATAGCCATAGATAGTTGGGTAATGAACAAACAATGGGAAGCATTTTTGTGGTTGGTTCATTTGGAATAGCGTGCTCTCTGGTGTTTGGGGGCGGGATGGGGGGGGTATCTGTGGTAAGAGTCCTGTGATCCATTTGGAATTGGTAATGTACAGTACTGCCCGTGTGAACAGTCTGATTTGTTTCGTGATTTTTAACTTATGAAGCAAGAAAGGTCTTCCTTCAATATTGTCTCTTAGGAAATCTTTCAGTGTTTGAACATAACCTGTGCTTGAATGCTACAGTTTCACGATAAGTTGCACGCTCTCTTATGCAGACTTCCCTTGCAGGTGAGCGAGGTGCTGACTTGACTTCAGCTCCACCTCGCTATAATTTTATATTGCTTCTGTAAAAATGCCCCCATTCTCTGTGTCTCTTTCTTCACAAGATGCCCTTCTTTGTGTGAGTGGAAGCTGTTGTGTTTCTAGAAGCTTCTTGCTGTCAGGAGCCCAAATGGCAGTCAAAGGAATATAAAAGAAAGAAAGACCATGAAAGAAGGACAGAGTTGAAAAGGAATTAGAAATTGCTTTTGTGGTATAGCTCTGAAAATGGAAAAGATTCTCCTGCTGTCCCTCTACTAAGGTGGGAGCAGAGCCGTTCTCCACACTGAAGGATGGAAGCACAGACCATTGCTATCCCTTCTTTTCTGAAGTCATTCTTATTCAGTGGAATAGAGACTATGCTTGGAGTTAATTTGCTTGGTTAAAATACAGTTGACAACAGAAAATTCGTTGCAAAAATTTAACCTTGAGTTGGAGTGTGGCTCAGTGGTAGAGTATGTTCTTAGAATGTACCAGTTCAATACTCAGCACCACACACAAAAAGTTAAATGTTTTTTGTTCAAGTATGTCTATCTGTCAGGCATAAATGGCTCATGGCTGCAATCTTACCACTCAGGAAACTGAGCAGGAGAAGTGCTTTGAGTTTGAGGCCAGCCTGTGTTAGAGAGAGACATGTAGTGTGTCTTCATTATGTGTTCATGTTAGAAAAAGATGTAAGAGAAGACTGGGCTGCTGCTGCTGGATGCCTTAATGTGCAGTCGACAGGATAAAAGGAAATGTTCTTGACGGATTGTTTTTTAGGCAGTTGCCTTTCTTTTAAGATAATTGATATATGAAGAATCAGGTATCCTACGAACCCAAGAGGCAGCAAGTTACCAACAAATTTAATTTCCACTATAATTTTAAGTTGGGACTAACTCAGACCTATAATCCAGTAATGGCGAGGGTGAGACAGAAGGTATTACAGTTGGAGGTAAGCTAGACCACAAAGTTGCAAGCTAGCTTGGGCTACATGGGGAGACCCTTTCTCACAAAACAAAACAAATATTTTAAGGGAGTCTTAGTGGCACTTGCCCTTAATTCAAAACACTAAGGAGCAGGTGGCTTTCAGGGTCAACATGGACTAGATAGCAAGACTCCATCTCAGGACAAACAAAGACACTCACATCTTGTTTTGTAAATAGATTTAATCTGAAATCTCTTCTGACCACAGTCATACATGTCTAAAATGTTTTCAGTAGTAAGGAGCTAGCTCAAGCTGTGCTTTTGGGTGGAAAACAAAGGTGAGAGGAATACGAGTTCTCAGCCAGCCTGGACTACAAGAGAGACCAGCAAGCTCATTGATAGTATGCTTCTAACATCTGCCTCATGTCTCACTCCTTGGACTTGAATGTTCAGACTCCTTCATAAGGATAAATACTGAATCAAACTGAAAGAAAAAAGACACGTAGAATTATCAAAAAGCCATATAAAACTATGGTTTATTTCTTATTTCATTTGTTCAAGGAATTCTGAGAGCTATAAGATACATTTTTTCTTCAAGATGGTTGTTCAAACCTGTGATCCACCGCTGGAGAGACAAGATTATCATTTTGAGGCTAGCCTAGCCTACCCTAGTGATGCTTGTCTCAGCAGCCTTCATCACAGATGGATTTTTCATAGTTAAACACATTTCAGAGAAAATAAAATTCTTTCAAAGGAGTAGTTTTTGCTTTTTGTTGACACTTCTCTCTCAATTTTAACGTCTTAAAGACAAAATTCTGACAATCCGATATAGTCTGCAATAGCTAGCAAGCTGGTGGTGTTGACCTGCCATGCCTACATAGTACACTTCTGAACTATTTGCGAACTTTAGCTTCAGGTGTCACAACAAGAGTACATGTTCTTATAGGCTATTGCTAACCTTGCTTTTACAAAGTTTCAGAAAAATGAAGTCAGGTTGTAGTGTACACCTTACACCTGTAATCCCAGTATCATCAGCTAGATAGCAAATTCAGAACCAGCATTGGTTACCTGATATCCTACCCAGAGAAGGAGAACAAGAAATGGTCAGAAGGCCTACAGAATGATTCAGAATAACCTGATACATGATGGTTTCAAAATCAATTCAATTTATATTTTCCAGGCCAGGCAGGGCTAGATTACAAAAAAAAAAAAAAAAACACTTAAAAAATAAAAAGACAAAAAAACAAAACCCCACAAACTCAAAGTGACTGATTGTATCCCAAGTAAATCAAGATGTTAGTGCCTCTGTATTTTTTATTTTTGTTTGTTGGGTGGTGGTGTATTTTTGTTTTTGAGATAGAGTCTCACTATGTGTAGACCCAAGGCTGTAGTCTGTATTGATCTCATTCAGCTGACAGTCCTGAGTGAGTGGTAGGATTCCAGGAGTGTGCTACCATGTCTGCCTGTGGGATGATTCTCTTTTTGTTTTTTTGTTTTGTTTGTTTTTGTTTTTCAAGACAGGGTTTCTCTGTGTAGTCTTGGCTGTCCTAGAACTCCCTCTGTAAACTCGTCTGACCTCAGACTCAGACATGTGCTCGCCTTTGCTTCCAGAGTGCTGGGATTAAAGGTGTGCACCACCCACTGCCCAGCTCTGGGATGGTTCTTAAAATCATCACTAACTAAGACAGAATTTTCAATAAAGTCCTGAATATAGCTAAAATGTAGTAAATACATATGCGTGTATTTATAAATTACAAATGTCCAGCCAGCTTCTACAGGCCTCCCATTTGTAATTGGTTGGTACTTCCAAAGCCATTGGCTTAGTGGTGTGCTTTCAGGCATAGTTTAGACTAACCAGTGACCTTGTTGAACTCATCAGTTTACTCAGACATAAGCCATTGGGAGTAGCAAGGAATAGCAAGACTTTGATCTGCTGAACGAGATACATGCACAAGGACCCAGGTTCAGTCCCTAGCACCCTCCCAGAGAGAAAATGGAATTATTAGGCTTTGTAAGACTGGAGCCAAATAAAGCAAAATATAGCAAATCAAAGCATCTGGGTTTTGTGTATTGAATATGTTTTTGCCATGGTCTTTATATTCTGAAATTTGTTTTCCTTCTGGGTTGAGAGTGCAGTTCAGCTCAGTACTGGAGTGAGTCTCACTGAGTTCAGCTCTTTCCTATTATCAGAAAAAGAAAAGATGATATTTAATGTTTTCTTTTTAAAGTTATGAATAAAACCATAAATCAAGAAGTAATAGAGGGTGGACACAATGGCTATTGCTCTTACCTGAGGATTTAAAAAATCGTATCAGACCAGCAAGTTGACGAGTTGATCATAATTCTTATTAACCCTAGGCAGGAAGGGTACTCTGGTTTATCCAGAAGGAGGACGAATGAAACTATCTTGGGAGTTTGCTTCTATATTTCCTTTTGTTTCTAAAGAATCAAAGACCTGCTGGGCAGTGGTGGTGCACACCTTTAATCCTAGCACTTGGGAGGCAGAGGCAGGTGGATTTCTGAGTTCGAGGCCAGCCTGGTCTACAGAGTGAGTTCCAGGACAGCCAGGGCTATACAGAGAAACCCTGTCTCGAAAAACCAAAAAATAAATAAATAAATAAATAAATAAATAAATAAATAAATAAATAAATAAAATCAAAGACCTGTGTTTAAAACTACCAACCAACCATGCTTGCTTGGTGGTACATGCCTTTAATTCAGTACTTGGGAGGCAGAGGCAGATGTATCTCAGTGAGTTCAAGGTCTGTAGCTCTAGGAAGCCAGGGTTATATAGTGAGACCTTGTTTCAAAAACAAAACAAAAACATCAGTCATAAAAATCCAGTTAATAAAGTTTCTCTTACTAATGAGTCCTTTTAGGTTGGTCTCTGGTCAATTTTTGTCTTTTTATTTGTTTTGACTTTTTTGCTTTGTTTGTCTCATGAAATCAGAGCTAGCTTAAAACTCTCAACCATCCTTCCTGCCTGGGTCCCCCAAGCATACCACCTGCTTAGCTTCTTAGTCACTTCATTGTGGTTGTCTGAAATTAAAGGTGTGTTAAGATAACACTGGTCTGTCTTTGACACTCTTTGACCATAGGTTCCCCCACCCCCTTTGGTACATGGTGATGAAAACATTTAATGTGCCAAATTGGGATAAATTAAGGAACAGTAAATTTGGCTCAGTTTTTGGTTCTGTTTCCTTTTGTTATTTGAGATGGGATCTTTTGTAGCCCAAAGCTCACTATGTATCTGAGGATGACTTTGTACTCCGTTTGCCTCCCCGTGCTGTACTGGGACTATAGTCATGGGCCACTATCCCCAGCTATTTTTTGCTTTTTTTGAGATAGAGTTTTGACATATATTCCATACTGGCCAAAGACCTCTGAGTGTTGGGATTATGGGAATGCACCAAGCCAGGTTTGGCTTGGTGTTTTAAAATATATCTTCCTCCTCCTCTAAGCCCAGAACAATGTGTAACCATACTAAAAGTTGAAAAGGGGAGAAGAGGTGACAGAGATGAACCATTCTGTAACGGTAACCTGTAGTCTGGCTCCTCTCTGATGGCACATTTCTATTAGTTGATTGTTATGGGACTTTAATTGGGTTTTAAATAGTGTTAATAAGCTAAAGGCATAGACTAATGCCTACTCTCGGCTGATGTGGGCTTTTTCAGTTTTATCTACATACTTATGTGGAGAGATTGTTTGGGTCAGATCTGCTCTGAGACCGCTTCCAGAGGTTTGCGAACTGTTTTCCTACTTAAACCCGTGTGGTCATTTCAGGTGATTTTGTTTATCTCGTGGA